CACATTACACAAAGCCCAAATCTGGGTGATCCTCGCGATAATAGCCCTAGCGTGACTATCGTCAACGCATAGGGCTAGAATGGCGCCAGGTGAATTCTAATTTTTTTTGAAGCAGCAAGTACGAGCCCACTATAGTGTGGCAATATTTTACATTTTCTAGTATCGGATGAGAGGCCTACTTTCTTTAAAGAAGAAAGTACGAGCCTACACTATGGTGTAGTGTATTCTACTTGCTACACATAAACATGATCACTAACAGCACAAACAAGGCGTTCCTTTTTTTTTTCCACATAATATTGTATAACTTAAGTCAGAGTCATAACAAGTTCGTGACCAGAAACAGTAGATTCACATGATTTGATATTAAAACGTCTAAGATTATAAGCAATACCCTGTGCGACTCGCTTTTTTTTTTTTTTTTGTGTGCGAGAAATGAAGAAAAATAAAAGCACAAGCCCATGCGAGGTGTGGCGCATTCTACTTTCTTTAAAGTTGCAAGTACGAGCCCTCGCTATGGCATGATGAATTTTACTTGCTACACATGCACATTAACAATGAATAAGGCATGTTTTCTCTCTTTTTTTTTTTTGTTTTTTTCTGGTAATATAAGTTGAGCGTCAGAATCATAGATTAAGACCACAGAAAGTCCATGACCTGTAATGGTGAATACACGTGATTTCAAGAGTAAACCATTATAATCATAAGCAAGATCTGTGCACCCTTTTTTTTTTTTTCTATAACAGTAGCCAGCTTTTAATGACGAACGTCTTATGTTCATTCTTTAACTCAAATCTAATCTCGATAACCGAATTATTTCCAATCTAAATGTACGGTGTACCATTTGGTTCAAAAGTGACATCATTTGCGTTTTAGTGTTTTAGAGTTTTAATGTTTTAGCGTTTTAGCGTTTTTAGAGATTTTGAGTTATGCGCGATATAGATCATTTACATAAAAGGATATGATCTACACATACGTTGCCTTATTTGGTCATGCAAGAAGTAAATCATTTCTATAAAGGGTGATCCACATACATATTGCCTTATTTTGCAAAAATTTATGAGTTTTAGCGTTTTAGCGTTTTAGCGTATTAGCGTACTAGCATTTTAGCATTTTAACATTATAACGTTTTAACGTTTTAACGTTTTAGAGTTTTAGCATTTTAGAGATTCAGCGTTTTAGAGTTTTAAAGTTTATTTAGCATTTTAGAGTTTTAATGCTTAAGCATTTTAGCATTTGAGTTTTAGAGTTTTAAAGCTTGGATTTTCGCGAGATCGGAAATAATATCAGTGTTTATTATCAAATCATACGAAATTTAGTATATATAAAAAAAACTTTGTACCGTAAAAGTTCATATACAAGACCTGGGTTTGGTACATTCCACCAATTTTTAAACCCTTTAGTAGACCCAGGTCTAGTATTTGCCCAGAGCTTATGACGTGAAAAAAAAAAAAAAAAAAGAGAAAAAGAAAGAAAGGAAAAGCAAAGAAAGGAAAAGCAGGAGACTATGTCAGATACAAACCTCTCGAAGCAATTTGTTGTGGTCTTGGAATCTCAACAGAAGGGACTAAGGCTACTCTAATACAAAAAATAAGGTGGTTTTCCTATGAACGTGCTGAGAAACAAAAAAAGATGTCCTATGAAGATACCGTGTCAATATGTTCGGAATACCCAACTGAAGAAAATGAGGTACACGAACTTGACCCCAAAATAGAGACCTAAGAGAAATGGTTCAAAAATCAAGAGAGAAAACCAAGATCTTACCATCAAGAATAGATACCCAAGTTGAAGAAGGGCAAAGTTCCCAACACCAAATGATGGAGGATACGTACGAAATACCAAGAAAATCAAACAAACACCGATATCAAAACGACGATGACAACGAAGGCCCAGGTGCCTTAGAACACAAGATGCTATTGGAGTTTAAAAAATTGGAGACTGCAATCCTAGGATTTAACGATAGGTTAAACTCGGTGTTCGCCCAGATACAAGATACCCACCAAAGAGTAGAAATAAATGATGCCTGGCCAATTCACAAATTTGAAAAATTCTGGGACCAATACAAGTATGACACATTACACCTGGTGGGAAAAGAACTTGATCTAGCTGTAGAATCAAGAAATATAAACAATGCCGTAAACCATATAGACAGCTTCTGGGAAAAAATTGCAAACAGAATATTTACACTGTGGGTAGCTGAAGGATATAGATGGGAAATTGCATCTGCCCTACCCGACACACAAGATGAGTAGTTAAAAGGAAAGGACGATCTAAACGAAAAAGCGAAAAATCTGGCAGACGTCAAGAGAAGTAAACGACAAAAAACACAGAATTTGGGAAAAACGATTATCAAGGGGGTATAATTATCATGAAACCTATAAAAGTAACAATTCAAGTTCCAACCAATCCTTTTGTACATATAACCAGCCTCAAAACCATGCCCGGCTTCTTCAAGCAAATGCTATACCTGTGGGGCCTTGAATATTTTGCAAATACCTGTCCCTCCGCCCCAAGTAAAAGTACCTTTAACTACTGATCATGTGGATATGCAACATATAAAACAGATTTAACAAACAACAAGAAAGCACAAAGGATGATTGACTATGCTCGGGCCCAGCAACAAATACCAGTAATAGGGTGCCTACATATGGACAAGCACATCAAATATTAGGAGGAAAAAATTTGTGCCTCAAATCTTATTATAAGCTGGCTCAAGAATGGGATCCTGCTATTTCCAAAAGGGCTAATAGAGATATCAATGCAACCAGATCTGTTTCAGTACCCACTTACAAAAGAACAGCAACTATAGTTGGATCTAGAAATAGAGAGACTTTTGAGGGTAAAGGCAGTTATGTCAGTGGCGCAGTCAAAACAAAGACCCGAACATTTGCTAGAAGTGAGCCCTATATTCTTGACCCCCAAACTGGGCCCCAAGAAGTGACATCTAGTGATCAACCTCAGACGCCTAAATGCAACGTTACCAGAAAAAACATTCAAGTTCGAAAGATTTGGGACCTTTCTATATATAGTAGGACAAAACTGGTGGGTAATTGTTTTGGACTTGAAAGAGGGATACTATCACGTGATGATGAACTAGAGTGCGCAAAGACTGCTAGATTTTCAGATCAGAGACAAGTGGTATCACTACCAGGTCTTACCCTTTGGACTAAGCCAAGCTGTATGGATATTCTCGAAGATAATGAAATCACTAATAGGACATTGGAGATCAAGTGGAATTACCTGCAGAAATCATGTAGACGATATCTGGGTAGCACACCCTGCCATGACACATTAGTACAGATAAGAGATTCAATTATACTCACAGATCTGAGAAATTGTGGGTTCATACTAGTGGAAAAAGGCCACCTCACCCAACACAACAACTGAAATTCTATGGCATGATTCTGAATACGGTGACAGGAATTGTATTAGCACCAGACTTCAAGATAAACTCGACATTACAGGCATTGGGAAGTCTGCTATTAGAAAAGGTAGTAACGGTTCGTCACTTGGCCTTAGCAACAGGGAAACTTATAAGCCTAAACCAAGCGTTCGTATATGCAAAAGCCCATTGTTTAGAGCTTTATACTATTATTGATACAGAAAACAGGAACCCCTGGGAATGGAACAATCCAGTGCACCTAACGCAAACAAGCACTTACCAATATATGCTGGTATTAAAGAACCTAAAAAAGAAAAATAGAAGATTAGATTGGAAACTACCCCAAATAATTCTGATATACGTAAATGCATCCA